TGGCCAAAGGATGATATGGAAAAAAATGTTAGAATGGAATTACAAATGGAATCAATTGATGTTACAATGTTCAAAGGGGACATGCAAATAATGGAGAAGAGTGATCTGGAAAGATTTTTTATTTTGGATTTGCAAAAGGAATGTATTGCATCAATGAGGCCATTCCTGGGAAGAGTTGAAGAGAAAATATTGGATATGTTTTTGGGAGAAGACAAGAAGATGACGGGGAACCAACTGGTGGGACATTATAAGAAAGGACTAAAGTTTAAGCTTTTTAAAAGTAAACAGAAGGTTTGCAAAGTGAATTTACTGGACTATGGTTAACATATATGTTGAGGCTCTTGGTAGTTATTAATGAAATTTGTTTTTATGACCAGGACTGAATGACAGTGGATTAAGGATTTTGGTATAAAGTTCACTAAGGTTAGGATATATTTGTTACTAAATCTATGGAATTTTTGTTCTTATATATGATAATAGTAGTAAGATTTTTATATGTATAAAGGTGGAAGGATATATTATTTATAATTTTATTTTTTATATATGATAACAGCAGCAAAGTTTTTAAATGCATAGAGGTGGAAAGAAGAGATATTATCTATAGTGAAACAATGGTTTGTGAGGTTGATGGAGTTGGCCGAGATGGTGAAATTGAGAGTTTTGATTTGAGATAAGACATTGGGTAATTTTAGTGTTAATTGGGGTTTTTTCTTTTTTTTTGGTGTTTCTGTGGGATATGCAAAAATGAAATTATGTTGTATAGGTTTGATGATTAGAAATAATATGGGTTAATAGAAATAATGGAAGATATGTAGTAAATTTAGAGCAAGAGTTTGATGTATATTGTTACTTATATCTGTTGTGGGGTGGGTTGGAAGTCAAGTCTTTTTTGTTGTTTATATGTAGTAAATTTAGAGCAAGAGTTTGATGTATATTGTTACTTATATCTGTTGTGGGGTGGGTTGGAAGTCAAGTCTTTTTTGTTGTTTATATGTAGTAAATTTAGAGCAAGAGTTTGATGTATATTGTTACTTATATCTGTTGTGGGGTGGGTTGGAAGTCAAGTCTTTTTTGTTGTTTTTCTTTTTCTTTTTTGCACTTTTGTTTTTTACTATTTTTTCTTTTTTCAATTTTTTCAATTTTTTCTTATTTTTCCTTAATATTAGTTTTGGTTAGTTTATATTGTTTTTTTAAAAAAAATTAATAGTTATTATAAAAATGTAAATTTTCCATATCAGTGATATAAGAACCACAATATTCAGATTTTACTACACAGCGTACACTATAGTATTAAAAATACTTCATTCGATGTCTAACAGAATGATTTTCTAACATAAAGAACTGTTTAAAATAACTCCCATAACTAAACAATAGTGTAAGAATAACAATTAGATGTAAATAGATCTGAGAAATATGAATACTACAAGAGTCTGAGAGAACCATGACAACATTCGAGCTAATATTGCACACTGAATATTTTACATAACTGTTTCAAACATGTGAAGGTGTGAATGTTGTACACCTTCTAGCTGTGCAAGGGAACTTTCCTTTTTTTTCATTCTTCCTGCATACTAATTTGTTCTGAAGGCTCTCCCTACTCCATTCAGTAGTTAGGGGGAAAACACATGGAATTTTTGCCACAGATAGAAAACTCCACTTGAATTTCACCCACATAAATTAATTAAGGGGGATCTGACCAATCAGGAACTTATGACATGAGCAAAACTCTTGAGGATTTGCACTAGATTTTGATCAATTATTAAAATCTGGATATTAAAAAGTAACATGCACAGTATGGCAATATTTGAAGTATCCATTTGTTAAGAGACTGAAGAAATTATCATGTGATTGGGCTACGATAGCTAGACACTCAAAATCTTTGGGGTTATGCACCAAAAGTGCAACATGATCCATGACATGGATGGAAAACGCACCCTGCCCGATTGGCATTTGTTATATAGCAAATTGCCAGTAGGACTAGTTTAATAGCATTGTGCTATGTTTGTACTTTTTTAATTAAATCAGTCTTTGAAGCAAATTGTTATCTAAATGGTTAGTATAAGCAACAGTTCAATAATATCCTGAAATAAATGATAAAGCAAGACTACTTGTAGAATATCCTGGGAAAAAATAAGTAGCACTATAGCCTGCAGTAGCAATATTTTTATTCAGGGGGAGCAGAGTGTTTTCCCATATTTTTTTCTGACCTCTGAGGTATGCCAGGGTTGGCAAATAATGTTACCAAAATTCCAACCACTTTTTTTTCTAATTTTTGGAGCTACCAAAAATAGCCGTGTAAGCATTACTCTTTATCATAAGCAATGTATCTTGATCTTTGTTTCTGTCTTATTTTTGGAATGGAGAAACACAGGAAATAGTTGTCAACTCAGTATATGTGAGTATTCACAGAATGAATGATCAAACAGTGATGGAACTATTTTCTAGAAAGGCTGAAGGTTTCAGGTAAATAGGTTAGAAACAGCAGATTTACTGAACTACAAGTTATCTCCAGAGAAATGGCTAATGGAGATACTTTCCAAGGATGTAGGGGAGGGAAGAAAGAAAAGTCTATGTTTTCCCTCTCTTTAATTTACTCCATGCATTGCAGATTCCCTTGCTCTTTACAACTTGCAAAAACTAATAAATATTTCAGCAGTTCAGTTTGGCTAATGCTTAATGCGTGTGTCACGCTCTGTAAAGCAGTATCAAATGTGTGAACATTTTCTAACACTGAATAATTTTCTAGAACTGCAATTAACTACTTATACTTGTTCGTGTGGATCAGAAGTTAAGATTTCTGAATTTAAAAGGGATTACTTTTAAGTGAATAGCTACAATGTTTTTGAGCACAAACTACACAGAAAACCCTACATGGCATGGGACTGGGTTACCTGAGGGACTGTCTCACCCCCATTTTATCTACCCATCCCACCTGGTCAGGCAGAGAGGGTATGCTGCGGACCCCATCAATGAAAGAATGTCATCTGGCATGGTCCAGAAAGAGAGCCTTCCTTGCTGTGGCCCCCACCCTATGGAATATTCTCCCCCCAGAGGTGAGGCAGGCCCCAATTCTCTTGTCCTTCCGGAAAACAGTTGACCTGGCTCTGCCAACTGGCATGGGGCGAAAAAAGGGGCAACCAACCCTGGGGGTGGCTA